CCCTATGGGGCCACGAAACGTGTGAGGGGTGTGCCGAATTGGGTGTGGGTGACGCATGCGGGCGGCAGCACTGGGGCCTTCTGTGGGGCTCCCTATGGGGCCACGAAACGTGTGAGGGGTGTGCCGAATTGGGTGTGCGGGACGCATGCGGGCGGCAGCACTGGGGCCTTCGGTGGGGCTCCCTATGGGGCCACGAAACGTGTGAGGGGTGTGCCGAAGTGGGTGTGCGGGACGCATGCGGGCGGCAGCACTGGGGCCTTCGGTGGGGCTCCCTATGGGGCCACGAAGCGTGTGAGGGGTGTGCCGAATTGGGTCGTGCGGGGCGCATGCGGGCGGCAGCACTGGGGCCTTCGGTGGGGCTCCCTATGGGGCCACGAAGCGTGTGAGGGGTGTGCCGAATTGGGTGTGCGCATGCGGGCGGCAGCACTGGGGCCTTCGGTGGGCTCCCTATGGGGCCACGAAACGTGTGAGGGGTGTGCCGAATTGGGTGTGCGGCGCATGCGGGCGGCAGCACTGGGGCCTTCGGTGGGCTCCCTATGGGGCCACGAAGCGTGTGAGGGGTGTGCCGAATGGGTGTGGGACGCATGCGGGCGCAGCACTGGGGCCTTCGGTGGTCTCCCTATGGGGCCACGAAACGTGTGAGGGGTGTGCGAATTGGGTGTGGGTGACGCATGCGGGCGGCAGCACTGGGCCTTCGGTGGGGCTCCCTATGGGGCCCGCAAACAACGTGCCGAATTGGGTGTGCGGGACGCATGCGGGCGGCAGCACTGGGGCTTTCGGCGGGGCTCCCTATGGGGCCTGGGGCCACGAAACGTGTGAGGGGTGTGCCGAATTGGGTGTGGGTGACGCGTGATGGCGGCTGCACTGGGGCCCTCGGTGGGGCTCCCTATGGGGCCACGAAGCGTGTGAGGGGTGTGCCGAATTGGATGTGGGTGACGCATGCGGGCGGCAGCACTGAGGCCTTCGGTGGGGCTCCCTATGGAGCCACGAAGCGTGTGAGGGGTGTGCCGAAATGGGTGTGGGTGACGCATGCGGGCGCGGGCACTGGGGCCTTCGGTGGAGCTCCCTATGGAGCCACGAAACGTGTGAGGGGTGTGCCGAAATGGGTGTGGGTGACGCATGCGGGCGCGGGCACTGGGGCCTTCGGTGGAGCTCCCTATGGAGCCACGAAACGTGTGAGGGGTGTGCCGAAATGGGTGTGGGTGACGCATGCGGGCGCGGGCACTGGGGCCTTCGGTGGAGCTCCCTATGGAGCCACGAAACGTGTGAGGGGTGTGCCGGGGTGTGGTGACGCATGCGGGCGCGGGCACGGGGCCTTCGGGGAGCTCCCTATGGAGCCACGAAACGTGTGAGGGGTGTGCCGAAATGGGTGTGGGTGACGCATGCGGGCGCGGGCACTGGGGCCTTCGGTAGGAGCTCCCTATGGAGCTCACGAAGCGGTGTACTGGGTGGGTGAAGAGGGGAGGAGGAGAGGAGGGGAGGAGAGGAGGAGAGGAGAGGCGAGGAGAGGAGAGGAAATGAGAGGAACGCGGGGCACCGTCTCTTCAAAACGAGGACCCAACACCACAGGATGGTTGGGAAAAACATAAGGGGTTTGCCACATTTCTGGAATTCGGTGGCACCCGTGACGCAGATCCGTAGGGTCAGGGTCGAAAAACGAAGAGGTCCCGACACTGCTTCACGGCGGCGCCCAGACCTCATGATTTAGCTTTTGCATCTCCCAGTATCCGAGACAGGGGGCCGGCGGCATGGGGCGAAGCCTTTACGGATAACCAATAATAATACTGAGAAGTCGAAGCATCGTCCCCTGACCATCTTTCGACCTCGTTGGGATACTCCTCCTGTCGAGGGACAGGCCCGACTTGATGCTACCCACAGAGAGCGCACGACGAGGAACGCGAGGGGCCTCCTCCGGCCACGGCGGGCCAGGCCCAACAGAAAACACCGGGCTCCACGACGTGCCTCTCCGAGGAGCGGCCCGGCGGCCCGAGCCCCCCCCCCCCCCTTGTCTGCGGAGGGCAGGAGCGCCCCCCCCCCCCGGGGAGAACCGTCCCCGGGACGCGAGGTCGTCGGAGCATCTCTTCTTCGGGTGGAGGGCTCGGGGTGGAAGCCACACGGGCTTTCTGCACCTCGAGCATCGATCCGTCTTGGGATTTTCACCTTCGGCAGATTCAAGCCTCGGGGCAGGAATCGGCGGTGGACGAACCTCCCTTTCGTAACCCACCCTTTCGTGAAAACGGCCTAGAACTGAAACCGATGGGCCTGGAACCGCAAAATGACGGCGGCGACTCCCTCTCGCGAAACGAAAACGGCCAATTCGCTAATCGACGTGTCAGGACAGGAGGCCTATTAACTTCCGAATGATAAAATTACCCCGGCACGCGAAGTCGTTCAGTAAACGGTCCAGGGCAGGGCAGGGCAGGGCTGTTCAGTAAACGCCCAAGGCCCTTTAACAAACGCCAACAATCGGGGCCGGGTGGTTTTTCCTCCCTTGAGTCTGACCCCGAAAGGGTCCTTATTTCAGCCTCTTGACTGTACACATGGCGGATTCCGGAAACCCGGAAGCCAAAAACGTTGTCGTCTCTTGGGAGGTCGACTCTTGCTTCTGCCGGCTTCCGCCGAGCTTCTGCCGTTTTTCGCCGGCGGAGCCGCCGCCGTTCTACTTCCGCCGCCTTCCGCCGACCTTCTGCCGCCTTCTGCCGATGAAGAGATGGCAACTCCTTCGATCCTCGAAGGCGAGGCCTTTTCGGGAGCGCTCCACGTGGCTGCAGGCACTGGCCCATGGGGCGGGTCCAGGACAGACTGCACCGTAAGCATACAGATTCCCAATATTTTCGTTTAGTTTCTGGGTATTTCTCTTCCCCCCCACTTCCCATATTTTCCCATACTTTCCGGGGAATCGACGATTGATTGCGTCTGTGTGCTTTTTCCCCTCCTGAGCAGACGTCGTCCCTGGGGGGACCGCTCTGTGCCGCCGGCCTCTCTGCCCGTGGAGCCGCCTCCGTCTTCACCGCCGCAGCCGCCCGCTGGTCTCCTGCCGGCTTCCGCTGAGGCAGAGGCGCCAACTCTGAAGTCGGGGGGATTTTCGACGAAAAATGAAACCTTATCCAAAAACGCTCCAAAATGGCCCAAAAAGCAAAAAAAATTAGCCTGGCGAAGGACCCAACCATATGCAGTTGAGAGTACCGCAATTGTGAATATATTCTTCGGTGGAGCTCCCTATGGGGCCACGAAACGTGTGAGGGGTGTGCCGAAATGGGTGTGCGGGACGCATGCGGACGGCAGCACTGGGGCCTTCGGTGGAGCTCCCTGTGGGGCCACGAAACGTGTGAGGGGTGTGCCGAAATGGGTGTGCGGGACGCATGCGGACGGCAGCCATGGGGCCTTCGGTGGAGCTCCCTATGGGGCCACGAAACGTGTGAGGGGTGTGCCGAAATGGGTGTGCGGGACGCATGCGGACGGCAGCACTGGGGCCTTCGGTGGAGCTCCCTGTGGGGCCACGAAACGTGTGAGGGGTGTGCCGAAATGGGTGTGCGGGACGCATGCGGACGGCAGCCATGGGGCCTTCGGTGGAGCTCCCTATGGGGCCACGAAACGTGTGAGGGGTGTCCAAAATGGCCCAAGAAACAAAAAAAAAAAAAAGTACTAAAAGAATAATCCCCTGACTATTTTTTAAATATTTTTGAATGTTCCCCCTGTAGAGGGACAGGCCCGACTTAAGCCAACTCCTTCGATCCTCGACGCCGAAGCCTTTTTTCCGGCGGCGAGCGAGGGGGGAAATGAGAAGGAAAAGGCCTTCTCAAGGGCGGCGGGACTTCTTAGGAACCCTCGCGCCTTCTGAGCAATCGTTTCTGTCTTTGGGGAAGGCTTAGAAAGCTTCTCAGAAGGCCAGAGGACTTCCGAGGCTTCTGAGGAGGCCCACCATGGTACCACTTTGACCCAGCTTCCGCTGCGCACCGGTCCACGTTTCCAATGGAAAGGCGGTGCAGAATGACTGTGGGTGCACACGCCGCACACCGTGCTGGCCACGCCACCGTTGCTTTGGACTTGCTGTTGGCATGGGTGGTTGGGGTGTCGGCATGGTGTCCAGCGTGTGCTGCGTACTACACTGACGCACGTGGCACACATGCTGCGCGTGGCGCACGCGGCGCGCCTGGCGGCGTGGTCCATCTGGCCCGCCTAGATCACCAGGCAGTTGGCGCGTCTGGCGCACGAGTGACGCCTCCGCACATGGCGCACCTGGCAACGTAGTGTACGTGGCGCGCCTGGTGCGGGTGGCGCACCATCCGAGCATGGCGCACCTGCCGTTCACACTGGTTCCCGTTGGTGCTGCACATCGGATGACAGCCGCAACCTGTGCTGAGTCTCACGTGCTAACTGTGTGGTGGAGGTTGTGGCGCTGCTGTTGGGAGCTTGACTCCGTCCCAAGCCCCTCCTCCTCCTCCTCCTCCTCCTCCTCCTCCACCTCCTCCTCCTCCTCTTCGGAGCGGCGTGAAACAGAATTACGGAATGATGGGGCAGAGCTTCAGGGTGCCGAGGCGGCGGGGGGCCGCGGTTCGAGGGGCAAACAATGGCATAAAGGTATACTTTCCATGGTCCGCGCGGATTTCTCGGATCGGCGCTGGACCCCCTCCCTGGCGGGCGGAGCGCGACAGGGGCGTCGCTGGAGGCGGTGCCAGGGGAGCCTGGCGCCGATCTAAAAAATCCGTGCGGGCCGTCGAAAGTTTATGTTTACCGTGAGGGGCTTTTGCTTAGCGTGTCGCCGCGGCGGCCCCAGCGACACACAGTGCCCTGCGAGCGTGTAGCGTCTCGCCCCGCTCCGCGGAGCGTGAGGCTGGGAAATACTCGGGACGTTGACGCCTGGGAACGGGCAAGTGGATAGCGTGCCGCAACGACGCATGGTGGGCCAGAACCAGCGGCGCGACACCCTGACCAAAAGCCACCAACCGTACAGATCATGCTTGTGCCGCTTGCTATCCCTCCAGCGGTGGGCCGCCGTCCTAGACAGGTTGCCCTTCAGCAGGTGCTTCGTACCGCGGCCGCCGTCGAGCTCCACCGCCCTTGGGGCGCAGAAGGACACACCAGCACTGTGCGTCCTCTTTGGAGGCGCACGTCCGAGCCCAGCACGTTAGCACAACCAAACTGTGATAGATCCGTTTCCCCCAGGCGGTGCGGCCAGAAGGCGCCCGCCACCGAGCTGAGCATGCACCGTGAAGCTTCTGAGCGCGCGCGTCGCCCACTCGGGGGCGACACGTTCACGCGGCCTGGAGGCGGCCGGGAGGTCCTGAACCGGCTGGGACCCGAGAGAGTCGGTCAGGAGGGGGGATGGAGCCAAAGCCGCTCAAAGTCGGTTCCCGGACTCCTGCCGGGGTCCATGTGGTTCAGTTTTTCACCCTGGATTCGTTGTTGACGGTCCCAGGACCCAGAAACAGCCCATGGAGGAGGTCGAAAAAGGCAACAAAAAAACCTTCTCGAACCCAGAACCTCGAGCCTGGCCGTCCTTCCTGCTGGCCAGAACCAGTGCTGGGCCACCTGAGACTCCCAGACGGCCCTAACACAGCACAAGGACAGGTCGGACATAGGCAAGAAGCACGCCCTTCAAGAACATGAGACCTTCCGTCGGCCAAAACAATCCGAATGTCCAAGGGTACCCTCCTCAGGATGCACAAAAACATCAAACGAACACGAATAACACGAGGGTACCCTCCCCGAAACGACCTCGATCTTGTACCTGGGATTGACTGCATCGTTTTCCGAGCACTATGGCCAGAAAGCACCCGCCCCCGTCTTGTACTCCAAGGCCTTCTCGGCGCACGCGTCACCCCCTCTGGAGGCGACGTACACACTACATCAGCATGTCGGGGCGACGCCGGAAACGGGCAGAACCCGACTGAACAACTAGGGGCTCCCTCCTTGAAGGAGAGAGTTCCTACTTGTGTTAGGTCGGGCATGTCCCCCTACAGGCGGATTTTGGACGAACAAATAAATACTTCAAACATGCACCGTAATAATCAATAAATGCTCAAAACATCGTCCCCTGACTATTTTTTTACTATTCTTGAAGATTCCTTCTGTAGAGGGACATGCCCGACTTAATACTTGTTCAGTCGTGCTGAACCCCCTCGGAGCCCAGACTCCAAACTCCGTGGCTTTCCGTGAGGCCCGCGCGCGCCATCGGTGGCGCTTCGCGTCGAAGCTGACGATCGTACCCGTGGCGCCGTTGAGCTCGGGTGCCTCTCCGCCAGCAGTGCCCACCCCCTCCCTCCTAGGATCCTCCTCAGGCTCCCCTCCTCCACCTCCCGCCCCGCCCCTTTGCTCCGCCCGCCCTCCTTTCGGGCGGGATGTTAAGCTTGGGCAGGGACAAGGGTGGGGTTGGAGGAACATCGTTCAAAACGGCACGCGAAAGGAGGACACGAGAGCATCCAGCTGGGTAGGTTCCCTAACCCCACCTTGGGATGACCCCCCCTCTATGAACCCCCGACCTTCAGACGAAGCCAGGACGAGGATAAAATCGGGTGAGGATAAATCGAGAATCTCTGAAATCCGGCGCATCTGGAGGATGTCTCGGGCGCCGCGGCCTTCTCAGAGCGTTCGAACGCTCTGAAAGCATGCCAGAACGCTCTGAAACGGATTTATCCTCGTCGTAGCGCCGCCCGGCTTCTCCTCCTCCTCCCCTCCCCAGCCATCCATCTCGTGCAGGGGGGTGGGCACGATTTTGACGGCCAACATGAGAAAGGCACTGTCATTAAGAGATCTCAAGATCGGTGGCACACCCGCCCAGCTACAATGCTGAAACTACGCCCGCCGAGGTGTCGCAGCCACTTGAGGCCCCCTTCTCTTCGCCCTCCCCCGTCCCCTCGCGCCCCTCCCCTCGCAGCGCCCTCTCCCGAGAGCTACGCTTTCGCCCTCCGGTACAAAATCTTCAGCTGCTCGGCTGCACCGCGGAGGGGGCCCAGATGTGCTGGCGCGTGCGCGAGCAGACACCGAGAGCACGAAGCGCCAGAGCCCAGCGCCCGCAGTCAGGACGGAGACGACCATGCGACGCCCGCGGCGGAGCACGAGCACGCGGAGGAGGAGGAGGAGAAGGAGGAGGAGGAGGAGGAGGTGGAAGAGGAGGAGGAGGAAGAGGAGGAGGAGGAGGCGGAGGAGGAGGAGGAGGAGGAAGAGGAGGAGGAAGGAGGACGAAGGAGAAAGGAGCAGGAAGGACGAAGGTGGGAGGAGGCGGAGGAGGAGGAGGAGGAGGAGGAGGAGGGAGAAGGGAGGAGAAGGAGGAGGAGGAGGCGGAGGAGGAGGAGGAGGAGTTGCCTCGGAGTTGCCTGACACCCACAGAAGGTGGGGGCCTACCTACGGCAAGTCCGAGGGAGACGGACGCAGCAGAACAGGGTGGGGGGCCGGAGAGCCTCCACTCTCCTCACTCGCCCCAGGTCGCAGGCAGCAGCTGCCGCAGGGACGCGTCTACCTGGGTGCAGCCCCTTTCGGATCCGCGACAGGTTTTCGCGCCCATTGCGGGTGGCCTCAACGCACTTCCCCAGAAAGTGTCGGGGATCGGTCGTGGCCGTGCACCCGCACCGAGAACAGAAATATAAGCTGTGGCGCGGCCACAGCTGCAGCCGGTGGGACAAGTGAAGTTGCTTGCCCCCCCCACCCACACCCTAGCCCCTGCCGCCCTGATGATATCATCGGCCGGGTGACTCTCACCAGAACTCCCCGCCGAATGGCACGGCATGGCACGCGCCGCCTTCAACTGCGAGCCCGGTACAAGCTGGTGACAGAGGGCACAGGCCCAGTGGCGAGCTGCCTTGACAAAGCAATGGCTAGAGATCGCGAGCGCCTGCTGGAGGGCAAGCTCGGCTGGACGCTTGGCGACGGCAGGGCGCTCAGCCGTCCAAAGGGCGGCGCGCGTCGCGTCGACGAATGTCGGGCGCGGCGGCGCACAATCGCAGCCGCGCAGTCCCAGACGTCAGTGTCAGGAGCCCTGCCCACGAGGGCCGCCGACCACGCTCGGCGGGCAGCGTCGCTGGCTAATGAATCGGCCGCCCCGTTGCCCTCCGCCATCATCCTGTCCCATTCAGACAAGGACGGGCCGGCAGGATCAACATGGCTCGGCGTCCAGACGACGCGGACCTCGCCGTCTCGTGCGGCGAAGGCGTCCCGAATTAGGCGCCACAGGTCGGCGTTGCCGCCGACGCCCCCCCCGCTGCGGTGGAGGCCCTGCTCCCACCCTCGCAGGAGCATGGAGCAGTCAGTCACGTACAGCATGGGCCCCGAGAGCGAGGATAGCGCCAGCGCAAAGGCGCGGAGCTCGGCCCTTGGGACCGTTTGGCGCCGACTGTCCATTCCGCAGGCCACGCCTGCAGCACGGCGCAGGCCATTCGGCGTGGCGATCATCACCACCGCGGCCGCGCCGACTCGTCGGCGACGCACGTCGCTACTGAACTGTCCTCCTGAACCGTCTCCAAATACGACCAGGAGGGAACCAAGGTGCCAGCATCGGGCCGTGCTGGCGGCCTCGAGCGGCTGCTCAGAAACGTTTCCCTCCTCCCCCACAGTCCACGCCGTCCCGCCACCCCCGCCGACCGAGAAGGAGGGAGTGCTGAGGCAAGAGGGAGGCAGGCCCCGAAACTAGAGCGAAGGCGTTTGCTCCTGGCCCGCCTGGGCCTGCGGGATCAAACAAAAAATCTGAAGCCTCGTAGGCCAGCCCCTTATTGCAGGGGCATTCACAAATGCAGCGGAACAGCGTCTCGGGAGCGCTCCCGCACCGAGGGCACAGCGGCGAAGCGTTGTAACCCGCCTCGATCTGGCGCTTCTGCGGCCACTGCCCCCCCGAGATTACAGTGACCAACTGGCCGACCTCATTGTGCGAGGCAGCCTGGGCGGATCGCTCGCGCGAGCTCGAGACGGACGTGGACGATATCGGCCCCTCCGGCTAAAGACTGGCCGAATGGGTGAGAAGCAGCCGCGGCCCAGAACGGCGCGGTGAGATCCTCGCGGAGGTCCTCGAGCAACTCCGAGAAATCAGAAACATCATCGGGCCTCCTCTCCTCGGGGGGCGGGTCGGGGAATTGCCGCAACCCCCAAGCATCGCCAACAGGCCTCCTCCGCTCCGTGGCGGTGACGGGCTGCCAGCCCAAGTCTAAGAGGGTCGCCTGGACGGCGCCGATGGGTCCTCGAACGCGCCTCCACCTTTGATTTGGGATGCGACCACGGCGAGCACGGATGCGGGGCCAAGACTGGCAAACTCGCTGGTGGACAGCAGGCGTTGTGGTTCACATATCAAACCACGCCTCAAACAACTGAGTGCGCAACGGAATCGCTGGGTCATCATCCCCTAGCCAAACAAACGGTGCCGTTGCCAAGCACCGCCCAGGCCCTTTACCGGCCACGGCGGCGGCAGCTGGTCGTCGCAAGACGGTGGTAGTGGACGGGGGGGGGTCCCCATCACTGTGTGCCCGCAGGAGGACTGGGGAAGAGCTCCTTGAAGGAACAGCCCCTTGGAAATGACGAAGAGTTTCGCATGCTTACGGAGCCGATGGATCCTACCTGCTCGAAGGCGGCCCTTGGCCCGCCCCCCGAGCATTTTTTTCACCGCGCGCTTCGCGCAACCAGCCGTGTCGCGCCCGAGATCGACTGCGCGTGCCACGCGAAAGAACGGCAGGCCAACCTCCTTCCAATCTCGGTCGAGGAGAAGACCGAGAGGAGGTGGGGCAGTGACCATGTCGTCTTGTCCGAAATCGGCAGCTGGGCCTCGGAAAACGAGGCCGCCAAGGAGGCCCCCACGGCGCGCCCCTGCTGTCGGACAGTCGACTGAACCCGTTCACTGCGGACGGCCGCGTCGTCCACGAACGTCCACAGTCCAGCTGGGGCAGCCTCGGGAACAATCGCTCGATCGTGCGCGGCCTGTAGAATCGGCCCAAGAAAAACCTTGGCCAGTTCAACCCCGTGGCCCGAGCCGGCAACAATCGAGCGCCCAGGAAAAATAAAATCACTGCACGTGGTCCTCGATTTCAAAACCCGTGGGGCCAGGGAAAGTTGGACCTCCAGGAGGGTCACAACTGGCGGGAAACCCTGGGCCGTCGAGGCCCCCATGAGTGTCAGCTGGCTCACATTGTGGCAGAACTTCTCGAGATCGAGGAGAATGGGCGCGGCAACGAATCCCAGGGACACAGCGCTCTCATCCATGACCGCTCGAACGAGCGCTGCACGAAGGACTGAACTCTGTTTCGCCGCAGTGCCCCAATGCTTCGCGAGCGGTTCGGATCATTGGTCTGTGATGCTGGCTCGCGCTTAGGGCCGCGCGCCAGCAACCGCCGGCAGGAGGCCGATGACTCCGTCGCCGCCCGCGGGCTTCAGGGTGGCGCAGCACACCGTTAACAGCGCCTGCTCGGGCCAGGTGCTGAGAGCCTCCATCTTGTTGAGGTCGGCAGACTGCTGCCGGCCCTCGGTGGAGAGCCTCTGCAGATCGAGCGGCGACAACACGTCGCAGCCCCTCGCCTTCGACCCAGGGCGGCGCTGTAGGATGCCGTCGACACGTTCGAGAGCCAGCGGCTCTAGCGGCTCAGACGACGCCGCGGCGCGGAGGGCAACCATGCCCTGCAACAAATCGCCCCGGGAACAAGACGAGTCCCTCCATCTCGGTTCCCACTGCTCGACCTTCGCCGCCGTGGCGCTGGCAGGGGCCTCCGGGGGCCCGAGGTCGGCGCTGGCGCCTTTCACTGACGCTGAGCCCAGCGGACGAAGGCCTGCCCAGCCGCCGCCAGACTGCGGGCACATGCCTTCTGCGCCCACTCCTGCGTCTGCTGCGCAGCCAGCTCCAGGCCCTCCGCGCCGGCGTCGGGCCTGGTCGCCACGTGGAGCAGCAGATGCCACTGATCGATCACCTCGGAGGTCGCCTTCTAAAAATGTGCTCCCGCGGCTGATTCATGCCCACGTCCACCATGCGGTTGATGGTCGCGACGGTGGTGCCCTGCTGCACCTCGTCGAGGCCGTGGCGCTTGAGGGCGAGTAGCTGCGCTGCGAGTGTCTCCAGCGTCCACCGCCACTCCGCGACAGGGGAGCGCACGTGGGCGCGACCTGGGGAAGGCTTGAGGCGCACCCGGACCAAGCTAGGGACCTCCGCTCGCCCCCTGCAACGGCGACACGCAGAGTCGTCCGCCTTCTCGGCCTGGAGCACCGTCTGCACCACCGCGCTGACCCACATGGCATCACGCTGGGAGATTTGCCCAAGACCTTCCCCG